AAAATCGACACGTTTCAGAAAGGCGGGGCATAGAGGAGAAACAATAATGTACATTATGTGGAAAATGTGTTTTTTTAACCTTAAACCGCATAAACACATTTCATTACACCAAATACACAAAATAATGTTCTTTTTAGCAACATCATATGACCCCTTTAAGGCGTTCCCCCATAGCGTCCTCTAGAGGAGGCAGTTCGAAGTTCCCTCAGAAGGGAACTGCTTTGATTGTTTGCATTTAGGATAACATACTGTCTATCAATTTAGCCTTAGCAAGACATTTTATTACAAACAAATGTCATTTCCTTCACTGCTATTTCTACTACATATGCATTAATTTCTCTTCCTGGTTCTAGGATACGTTGTGAAAAAACACACAGAGCACTTAGAAATCGATACTTTCTTACCTGGTTTTTCCACATGAATTGTGAACCATGTATACAACTATTGCTGGCCACAGTTCCTCAAAAGGAGCAATGTCAAAGTGAAACCTTAGACAGAAATATGACAGTTTGTTTGCAATTCAAATCTGCACAGGTGAAATATGAGCCAAAAACGTGTTCAATACATCCTGATTACAACTGCACTCCTATGTCATGTCCACTTGTCCACACATGGAAATAATACCAAACCAATGTGCACACTTAGTTTTTGTGGATCATGAAAAATTATAATCAAAATATGGTATTAAAACCATCGCATCTACAAAAAAAAAAAACACTCAATAAGCAACATGAGGCTGTGTGTAAATTTTTTTTTTGCTTTTAAAAAACAAGTATTTCATTCACCTAACTGTAATAAGACAAATGATGCTGTTAGCACCTATTTCACAGCTATTCAGATTGGCTTGTCCACTCAGATTTTAGAGTTGCAAAATTAAATAACCACTAAGTAACAGTATTACTGAAAGTCATTATGTAACAGTGATCTTCGATGCATGAGAGCGTAAACTCACAGTTCGATCTCTTTATATATGGCTGAAGGGAGGGAGAGTTGTGTGAGGGTCTTCCACTCCTCTGACGTGCAGATGCTGTGGTACGAAAGCTTCTCCATCGTCACCCGGTAAATGCACTCTGAATGTCTTATCCGGTGATACATCTGAATGCAAACACACATACACCCCATGTGTCTATGTGCAAAATATACATGCAAAATAGTCTAACCCTTTGAAAATAATGTGGTTGTATTTATCTAAATGGATATCTATCCTTCTATCTATCAGCTATGGTTATTTAGTGTTAACCATTCATATTAGCAGATCATTTCAGGTACCATAAAGTAGTAGCATAATAATTAAAGTTTATTCCTCCTTCATTCTACCTCATATAAATCAGTAAAAGATTAAATAAATCACTGGCAAAATGTGAGGTGTAAATTCTGTCTAAATATAAATCCCATCAGCGGATGGCAGCAGAGCACTCATGGTCTTTTAAATATTAACATTCCTCAATAATTTTAAAAGCTGCTATGTGAGGAGACTCATGTGTGATCACAGTGTTGCCAGATTGGGTTGACGTCTTCCAGCCCAAAAGCTACAAAACCTGCCCTCTGTCCAAAAAAAACCCCACCTAAAACATTAACATTACGTTTTTTTTGTTAACAATTAAAAAAATTCCAAACTGATCCCAAACCATCTTAAATTTTGTCCATCTGCCAAAACCAGGGCCGCTGCTGGCCAATCGGGTGCCCTAAGCAGAACTGTATTGTTGTGCCCCCTCTCCCAAATATTATGGATGTAAAAACACCTACTATAGGGATCATAATTGTAATTGTAATTAAATTGTATTATTTACAAATTACAATTGTAGCTCTAGACAGTTACCTATGGCTATTATTTTATTAATACATTTGTCTGATTGATTTTATAGTCTCAAGCATTCAGAAATCACGCAAAAGAAAACTGAGCAGTTTTACTACGACAAAACCATGGTTAATTTTTGTAAGGGTTGTGATGTCCACATGTTTTTGTTGAAGAAATGATAGAGGCTGTAGCATTTCTATCGCAAAAAGATGGCCAAAAATGTAATATTAAGTGGATATTTGAATTAGCCTAAATGTTTGATCAATATAAAGGACTTGATCGTCCTGTAAGTGTAACAGCAGCAACTACCAGGCCTTTGGCTCCCTTTGCAGGCATTTGTAATAATATGTATGCAGTCAGCCGCAAACATGAGGTGAGGACGGGCGCGGATGCGGGAATGGCGTCAAGTGTGCTTAGCCTACTGCCTACTGCGTTCACCATAAAATGCATTTTTTATAACCTAATTATGTATATTTATATTCATGTTTATATTTGTATTTATGTATATGCATATGTTAATATTAATCTAGAATGAAAGTATTTTTTATTTTTTATTTTTTATTTTTTTTGAGCAACTGGGATGGTGCCCCCCCGGGAGTTGGTGCCCTACGCAAACTGCGTACTCTGTGTATAGGGAGCGGCGGTACTGGCCCAAACCAATTTTGACCTACAATTAGGCAAAAACCCGCCCAATCTGGCAACAATGTGTGACCCCACAGAGGACCAAGTGGCTGAAATCTCTGGTAGACAGTCCTCAGCCTGTTTCTTCCAAACATAACCATTCTCTAGGTGTCATTATAACCAACA